ACATTGATGTTGCCGTTTCGTTGTCTGGTAGCGGTGCTTTGGCGTCTAAAATGTATTGGACATATTTGCCGTATTCTTCGGCTTGTTTCTCGCGCAATTTCTCATGCTTAACAGATTAAAATACTTCCGTGGCGCTGACGAAGTTTGAATTGACTGTGAATAATTCCCTATCACTGAGGACTGGTTGCAANATAGTACGACATTGATGTTGCCGTTTCGTTGTCTGGTAGCGGTGCTTTGGCGTCTAAAATGTATTGGACATATTCGCCGTATTCTTCGGCTTGTTTCTCGCGCAATTTCTCATGCTTAACAGATTCAAATACTTCCGTGGCGCTGACGAAATTTGAATTGACTGTGAATAATTCCCTATCACTAAGGACTGGTTGCACATCATCCAATTTGTCAGTCGAGACTTGGTATGGTCTGTTTGGCATGTGTTGTTGCAGCTTTGGATCGTCCGGTACATTTCGGCAAATCGGTGCAAGGTTCGGCGCAGTTCGTTCTTGTTCATTATCGAACATGGAAAGTCGCGATAACGTATCCGGCACTACATACATGCAACTTTCCCAGTTTGTGNGGCAAATCGGTGCAAGGTTCGGCGCAGTTCGTTCTTGTTCATTATCGAACACGAAAAGTCGCGATAACGTATCCGGCACTACATGCAACTTTCCCGGTTTGTGTTTTACCGTGAAATCGAAGGATTGCAGTGCTATTGCCCATCTAGTGAGCATATTTGACGTGTCTTGCATCGTATAAAGATATCGCAATGCCGCATGATCAGTTACGCACGTAAAATGTCTACCCCATAAATAAGGACGCCAGTGTTGAATTGCTAGAATAACAGCATAGCATTCTTTCATGGTGGCAAAGTAGTGTTGTTGGCTTTTGTTGAATCGCTGGCTAAAGTATGCTACGATATTCACGTCATCGCCATTCTGTTGTGCCAGGAATACTCCTGCTCCCACTTCAGATGCGTCTACGTGGATAACAAACTCTTTAGAAAGTCCGGAAAATGCAAAACCGGAGCGTTGGTGAGCAATCGTTTCACTTCGGCAAATGCTTCATCATCATGTTTCGGACCCCAGCGTTTCGCTACCGACTTCACTGCGTCTTTCTTCGTAAGGTCGAACATTGGTGCGGTGACGGCGGCTAAGTCTGGGATGAATTTCCTGACATAGTTGACCGTTCCTAGGACTGATCGCAAACTTTTGATGTTTGTTGGCGTTGGCAACTCTAGTATCGATTTTATCCGATCTTCACCTAAACGTATGCCATCTGCGGAAAGAATATGCCCCAAATACTTCACTTCCTTTGGCCCAAATTGTACCTTCGACGGTTTTAATGTAAGACCTGCGGCTTGTAGCGCTTGAAAGGTATTTTCCAAAAGAGAGATATGGCCCTCCCATGTAGATGAACAACAAATGAGATCGTCTATGTACACGAGAAGACCAGATTTTGGACCAAAATGTGCGAAAGTCAATGCCATCGTACGTTGAAACAGAAAAGGCGCATTCATTGGCGATGCCAAAGGGTAGTCGTTTAAAAACCTATTTTCCGTCCCGAGTAACGAATGCAGTCTTGTCTTGTTTTGCTTCGGCAATTGGTATTTGGTGGTATGCACTTTGTAAATCGCAAACTGTGATGTATTTAGCACCTGCTACTGTGTCAATATGACTTGCCATCTCAGGCATTGGCCACGATTTACGAATTAAATTCTTGTTTATCGTCGCTCTGTAATCTACACAGAATCGGGGGCTGCCGTCAGCTTTTGCTACCAACGTTACTGCTGACCCCCATGGGCTCGCTCTTTGCTCGATTATCCCAGCTTCTTCCATTTCACCAGCACATTATTTGTCAATAACCTCTTGCATTCGTGGATTTGCACGATATGGAGCTCTGTTGACTGGTTTTGTTCCTGGTTGCAATGGAAAATCAGCCTCTGTGAGAGTACATTTGCCCAGTTCTTTAGGACTCAGGGAGAATACTGAACGGTATTTGGTACACAGTTTAAGTATTTCTTCACTCTGGTCGGGCAAAAAGGTTGTATCTCTGAAAGCTTTGGCTACTGCCTTCTTGAGATCTGTACGGGTTTTTTCCGTTTCTTCCCGGCTCGTTTGAACGCTGCTCATTATTTGTGGCAGTACTGTTTTCACTGGAGAAATATAGCCGATAAGTGTATTTCTTTTCAGGGATACCGGTCTGTGAGAAGGGTTGGCTAGTTGTACCATTGCACTTTTGTTGTGCTTATACCAGTGACAGACTGTGCGTGCTACTATCACCCTACGGAATGCATCTGGTGTATCCTGCCTTCCCAACGCCATCGGGCGTAACGATGCGCGGTTCAACTACGGCCGCTGTGGTTTCATCTGGCGCTTGAAGCGAATGAATTTCGACAGCTATTTCATGTTGTGCAGGTATGCTGCATTTCCGTGTAGTGTATACAGGCACTGCAGGTGTGTCCCTCTCTACTGCTACCACAGAACAGTTCATACTGTTTTCCTGATCGGTCGTGGGATAGCGCGTTTTGCGGTGGACTGCTGGAACTTTGGTTGTTGTTGTTTTAAACGACAATTCTTCCGCTTGCCAATCAAGAACACCACCAAATGCGCCCATTATGCTATTGTCGAGTAGCATATTATCAGGTCCCAACGACGGCAGCACTAGAGTTTCAACAGGTAATGTGATTTCTCCTAGTGTCAGTTCAAATCGAGTGTACCCTGCAATTTTCAGGGGTGAACCATCGGCGCTGCGCAGATTGATTGCTCCCGGGGGTACTGGAAAAATTTCCGTGTTTTTCAACGTTTTGTGACTTCTCATGAACTTCCGTGAAATGCATGGTATGTCACACGCCGTGTCGATTGTTATTTCGTCAACCGATTCATTGTTTATTCTGGCGGGTACACGTACTCGCTTGGATGTCGATCGCAATACCGATGGACTCACGGGGTATCCAGCGAGTGCGGACATGTAAAAAGCATGAAATTCTTCATTACGGTCAGTTCTCATTAGGTTAGACCTATGTTTCGACCTGAAGTCCCCAGCTACGGTAGCTACGTGCAAGGCTTGTGGCGCTAAACAGGCGGCTACTTGCCTTACTTGGGTGCTATCCCCTAGTGCTGGATCCACAGCGGCTACTGCATCAGTTGTGCGGGCACTTGACTTCGGGACTCCTCGCGTTTGCTTGCTGCTATAACCTTCGCGAGAATGTTCTCGTGGTACATGTGTTCGTGACGTGGATTATGGATTATGTAATCCTCACGAGAGCTACTGCTGTAGTATTCATACNAAACAGGCGGCTACTTGCCTTACTTGGGTGCTATCCCCTAGTGCTGGATCCACAGCGGCTACTGCATCAGTTGTGCGGGCACTTGACTTCGGGACTCCTCGCGTTTGCTTGCTGCTATAACCTTCGCGAGAATGTTCTCGTGGTACATGTGTTCGTGACGTGGATTATGGATTATGTAATCCTCACGAGAGCTACTGCTGTAGTATTCATACGTGGTTTGGAGCTATGGAATTGTGCGACTGCAATCGACCGCCCAGCGGGTGCGGATCTTCGGGGTAATCCCTGCGTATCTTTAGCAAGCTGTGATGTGTTCCGAGTTATGGATGCATCTTTACGGCGGTGGATTTATTGCGACTGGTTACTGGTGTGCGGCACGGGAGCTTGCCCCCCGCTGCCACTCTCTTCTGTGCGCTGGTCTACGTAGGACGACCTAATAAAACGACTTAACCATCTATCCAATCCTGTCAACTGGGTCAGCCGTGCTTGTACAGCAGCACTGGGCTTGGGACCAATCAACAACATGTACTTCAACTGTCTTTCTACAGCGCTGCTCTTTGACTGCTTTTCTTGTTGTTCCCACCAGAGATCGTACACCATTGTTACAGTGTTTTGAATCCCTCTCATCTACTCTGTCTCTCTTCTGCTTGCTCGTGTTTTGCAGTCTACTTGTATCCCAGTTTGTACGTACTGGTTTGACAGAACCAAATGATTGGTGTCCCACGTTGGCCGAGGGATGCTGCCTACTCGGTCGACCCTAGTTCTTTGTGACCGTGTACCCCTCGTTCTTGGCTGCCTGTTCAGTTTTGCACGCTGCGCGGGTGTGCGTAAAGCGAATGTTACTGAAACGACAACCAATAAAGTCACATTCCTTCTTATGTTTCACGGTGTCGGGCTTAGCAGTACCAGCGAAGGATACTTTCGCCTTCGCCCGCGCGGGAGGACCCCGGGATTTGGAATTATTCTTATCACGTTGGTCGGTCCCCCGCTGAGCACGCCCACGTTGCGCGCCGTATGCTCCACCACTGGACACGAACGCTTCCTGCCCTGAAATATAGTTTTCAATGGCAGTGATGCGGTCCTTGTTGTCGTCCGCCGTACTTTGGAGCTGCCCGGGAGGAGCAGAGCCGTATACGGTCGAGGCGGTAGCCGAGATGGGGGCAGGGGGCGAGCGCAGTTTATTGGACTCGTGTCTACGAGCACGCGCTTTCGATTCCATGAAATAATCGGATGGGTCTGCCCGCATCATTTCTACGCGAATGTGGGGGTGCACACCGTTTTCGAAAGATGCAGTGAGTGCTTGATTGGAAGCGTGTTCATGAGGTGGTACATTCAGCGGAGCTGTGCGTTCGGCTTCGGCTAGAAATCTGGCATAAGCGCGTGATACTCTGAGCTCAAACACGTCAACTGATTCGCTAGTCTTCGCTTCTAATGTCATGACGTC